TTGTCAGTTAATCTGATAAAATTTGGTTTTCTTCAGATAGAGCTCATGAAATACTCAATTTTTCCCTCAGTAACAACCATTTACTAAGATTTAAATCTCCATTCTAGATTAAAATGGTCAAATAAAAGCTATTATAACAGTTTAATTGATTTTACCTGACGAATTCCATTTTAACATTACAATCTAATCGGCTAAGAAAATATTCTATATCAAGATAATTGTTTTTCTCTGATAATACTTATTCAAGGATGCAACTTAATTACTACAGCGAAAAATGATTTAACCAGATTAATTTGTTTTACCTGAAGAATTCCATATTAATCAATACAACATTGTAACGCTAACTAACTGTAACGAAAATATTGTATATCTAGATAATTGTTTTTCTCTGAGACGATACCTAGTCACGGACAAACACTAAAACTTTAACCCTAGATAGGAAGAGAAGAACCACAAGAGCGTATTCGACACAATGTTCTTTTGAAATAGAAAATGAAAGGGTCTTTGTGTGCTAAAAGTTTTTTTGCACTACCCTTTACATCAGCCAAAGCGTGGTACAAAATGCTGTAAAAAATAAAGATTTTGTTGGACAATACAGTAAAGATAAAGACCCTCGTGGAATGTGCGTGGCACATAATAAGACACCTCCTGAAAAAGTTCAAGAGGTCCATGACCACATGCGATCGTTTCCATCCATGGAGAGTCATTACGTAAGAAAGAAGTCTAAACGTCAATATTTGGATAGAAAACTATCTATTGCAAAGATGTACAGTCTTTATGTTGACGAATGTAAAAAGAAAAACAGTAAACCTGTATCTGAGATAACATATCGGAGAATGTTTTGCAATGATTTCAATTTGGGATTCTTTAAACCGAAAAAGGACCAATGTCTGATTTGCACTAAATATGCACGAAGTGATGCTAAAGATAAAACGGAACTCGAAAAACAATTTGCTGAATACAATGCCAGGAAAGAGGCTTGTAATAAAGAAAAGGAAAATGATAAGATAAGAGCCGGTGATAATAAGGATTTTTTATCTGCTTCTTTTGATTTACAAGCCATACTTCAGATACCTAGTGTAGACATCGGTCTTCTATATTACACGCGCAAATTAACTGTCTATAATTTGACAGTATACGAGAGTGCTCTTCCAAACCATGCATATTGTTTCACTTGGTCAGAAGTAAATGGCAAAAAAGGTAGCGCGGAAATAGGTACTATTTTGTACCACTACTTGTCGAATTGCATTCCAAATTCTGTGACTTAAGTAACCCTTTTTTCTGATACCTGTGGCGGGCAGAATCGGAATAAGAACGTAGCGGCAATTCTACTCTGGGCTGTTCAAAAAATAGAAAACTTGCAAATCATTGAACAAAAATTCCTTGAAAGTGGACATTCACACATGGAGGCAGACTCTATGCATAGCGCTATCGAGACGGAACAAGAATATACAGATATCTATTCAATGCCAGATTGGATAAAGGTATTTAAGAAAGCAAGATCAAAAAAAGTATATATTAAGAAAGAAAATAAGAAAGTTGTTAAGAACCCATACGTTGTGAAAGAATTCAAATATGATGAGTTCAAAGATTTAAAAGATCTGTCTAACAAAATTTTGTTAAATACAAAAATAGACACAGAAGGAAAGCAAGTTAAGTGGTTAAAGATAAAGCGACTGAGAGATATTAAAGGAGAAAACAAAATATTCAATTACGTTATGTCAGAGAATTTTTTCTGCAATTGATGTTAGTAAAAAAAGAAAAGGAATGAAAGAAAAGGAAGTAAAGCCAGTGAAAACTTAGATTCTGAGCCAACAAAGAGAACATAATTACGAAACAAGAAATAGAAAGAAAAGGACTGTGGACGAAACGGCAACGTCCGTGATTTCTGAAAGATCAGAAATCAGTGAAGTGCAATATTTTCCTGATAAACTATTGCAACTCTACAAAAAAACCTTTATCTATAAGTGTTGCAAAAATGAGAGACTTGCTGCAATTATGCAGCAAAGGCGTCATACCAGAGGGGTACCATCCCTGGTTCAACAATTTGAATAGCGATGCTGTTTGTAAAGACAGGGTACCTGATTGCACAGTCTCTGATGACGAATCTGCAATATCTTCGGATGATGACTAACAACAACCCAATTCAAAATAGTTTATTTTTTTAAGTACCTACCTAACCCTGGTATTCTATTTTTACTGTCTTAATTTTAATTATATTTGATTATAATTGTAATGACATATTATTCTCAGTTTTACCTAACTAGAAGATAAAAATGCTTAGTCATAAACAAATTAGATAATTTTGTTTAGAATTTAATTAAGTTTATCAAAGTAAAAAATTAAATAGTCCTTGTTTGATTTTCTAATTTGATTATTATTTCAATTACCTATTCTCGATACCTAGAATATGTAAATGCTTGATGTAGATGCGCATTAAAGATAATATTTTATTTAGAATTTGAAAATATGCAAAGTCGCAGGACTTTGCATATTTAAATTTTTCCCAAAAATGTCCAAATCCCATGGAAATTTCGGGAATTTTTTTTCCAAGTAAGATTATCATAGGTCACAAAGGTACATTTATGTAAAATTTTAGACGTCTAGCGCAATAATATTGGATTTGCTTTGGTATGTCAGTCAGTCGGTCGGTAACTCAATAATAAGCAGTTTTTCCTTTATTTACATTTTTTTTTGGTACATATTACTGGCAATTGAAGCGCGATTTTATTGTTATTTGAACTAATCAAGCTAATTTGTACTTAATGAATTATTTCGACTTATAAAGTTGATAACAAAGGAACGTACTGAAACTCTAATAAATTACTTACTTAACTTTTTAGATTCTTAAATTTTCTGCAGGGAAAACCAATTATCTTGATACATTTTCACTTGTAACTTCACAAGGGACAGCTGTACAGGTATTTTTTTATCATGGTTAGTCTTAATTTACTGAAATTAAAAAGTAATTTCGCGGGATTTGCCGTATTCCTATTGCCTTAAAAGATATAGACATTTATCAGTTCTCAGGGAAAACCAATTAAATGGGTGACCTTGTGACAATTATTGAAATTTTCATTACAAAGCAATAATTTTTTTAAACTTCAATAGACATGTTCAAATAGAACGTTTTATTAATGTACTGATGCTATAAAGCAAAAATAACAATTTTAAAAATTAGGGTTTTCAAACCCGCAAACTTTGTAATCGCGATATCTCCGTTTGCACTTTTTATGATTTAACTGGTTTTCGTTGTAAGGGGGCGATATATATATATATATCCGTGTAACGGAATTCTGTGAACGATTGACCAGGCTTTGCCTTTTCAGCGGATGTAATTAGGTAGCAACGTTTGATTGCTTATTCTTATTTGAAAATAAAAATAACAGAACGCCATATATGTAGATAAAACAATAGAGAGTGTACAGCAATGAAACATGGAGGGCTATATGATAAGAATAATAAATTGGCCTTGAAGATAATCTCAGCACAGAGTACTAAGAACCGATTTCAAAAGTTATTCATCCCCTAGTTTGCCACACTCAGAGGTGGAATATATTCTTCAAATTTAGACGGGACCACTTCTGAAGTACCCTCTTTCCAACAAAAAAAAAACATCAAAATCGATTCACAAATCGATTACAGTTATCGCGCGATAGCAGTTATCGCGTAACATACATACAAAAAAACACAGTCGAATTGAAAACCTCTACTTTTTTGAAATCGTTTAAACGGTTTTTAAACGGACGTTTTATTGCATTCTTCAAGTGATAGTGTCCATTAAAAATTACCCATGAGAGCTTAGAGGATGGAAAAAAAATCATGGGAGCCTCTCAAATTACAAAAAAAAAATCACCTGTTCTATATAAAATATGTACAATGATAATATATTCACTGAACCATAGGAATAATAGAACAGTTGATTTTATTCCTGGCTAAGGGTGTCAATGTAAAAGTTTTTAAAAGGGTGTTCTAATCTTTTGCTAAGTAAATAAGTCGCTATATAAATATTTTTGAGCAATTTGATTAATCCTACGGACCGTTCTTTGTGAAGAGCATCGGCTATATACTTATTACTTTGAACGGCTAAATTGATATTATTAATAATGCCCGTCTGCCCATGGTCCATTTGATAAATCGAGGCTTAAGATGGCGTGAATTTATCACTTTGACCGGGCAGTATGCATTCAGTAAAGATAATTTGTTTTATTACTTTGACCAAAACAGAGTCGTCATTATTCATACTGACCGGGAGAGGAAACTAATAATACAGGTTTTACTAATAATATTGCTTACAGTTACTAGAGTTATGATGATTAGGTAATATTATGGACTATTTTGGCAAAGTAAAATGTGTAGAGTCATACAGTGCGTGTTAACAACAGAGACCATTAATGCAATGTTATCTTATATCAATTTGTCAATATTTGTATAACATTACTTAGTGCGTAGGTATAATGTTTTAGTACTGAAAGTGATACGATATATGACTATCGCCGTTATTTTTGCTCACAGTAGCTGTGTAATTCCGCCATGAGGTTAGAGTCGCCTCTATATTTAGCACTTATTAGAATTCCTACGAAATTGTCTGCTTTTATTTTACACTTAACAACTCGTAAATATCAGGTGAGTTGGAAGTCAAATGCGCACGTATTTATTTATCTAGACTATGACACTATTTAGACTAAAACCTTGTATCTTCTATGGTTTTGGATTTCACCATACTGTCCTATTTAAAGAAACACTGTATATATCTGCTTATTTAATAATAACACGGAAAATTACGTTTTAGTCAATATTTTTGCAAATCAGACTCGTTTATATAAGCGGAATCACTGTAGTAAAATTTGTTTGTTTTCTTAACTAACTATATCCTCCTAAAAGTCAACGAAATTCAATGTAATAAAGTTCATCGTTAACATAAAAATGTATTTTATTATAATAATTTATTATTGCATTTCAGAACGGTTTGAAGTTGTGGCCAAACTTCCAATGCCCTGATTTATTTATACATTTCTAGTTGATCGACTTACTATACTCGAAAACATCGATGTAAACAATTATTTCCAGATTCGACGTTCATTACGGCTTCACTGTGTGCCTAGAAAGTTGCGTGGAACGAAATAATCGGTGGTTATTCTTTCTACACAATATTGATACACAGTTATACGTAAGTGCAATGGTTTGAAACTTAATGCGAGGGTTAGTAAATGACAGTGAACTGTGAGCCGGGTTATTCGGCTGCCGATGGTTGAGGCAGCCTTACGTGAGTTTCTGACGTGTGAATTAATAAATAGTCTTCACGAGTGTTGTTCTTAGATTAAACTTTTTTTTAAGAATATTACTTTTTTCATCCAGTGGACTTTGAGGTATGTATTTTCATTTGCTTCAGTTATTAACGTTTTCGATTTATTTATATTTTTTTTATCTATATCCAATATTTTATTTCAACTATTCACATAAAAGTGTAATAGTAATTACTCGTGTGGCAGCGGAATTAATTTATATTTCCTTAAAATAAGTAGATATTTAAAAAGGAAAATGTATGTAAACATTTATTTTCCAGCTGTAAAATATTCACAATATTCTATTTATCATTTCATAAGTAACTCATCGTTACGCATTAAAACGACATGTTGTCCTTCTCAAAAATGAAAGGGAAAACAAAGTTAGTAATAGTAGGTGCGTGCTTCTGGTAGGTCCAAAAAAATCCAATCTTTAAAAACCAGTTCGAATTTTAGAAACAAGTGTGTAGAGAAAACAATCACAGCCATGATATTCAAAAAAGAAAATAACTTCTATTAAATTTTAAATCTAAATAAAAATTATCTAGATAAAATAACCAATAACAATATCACGAAAACCTGTTTCTATAAGAATTCCGTGTTCGTTTAATAATAACAAACTTAGTTTAGTGACGACCTCGAGATATTGTTTGCCAACAGAAACTGCGTCTGCAAATGGCACAGTTTACATAAAACTTGTTCAAGTTCAGATTTGCGATAACCTGAGATAAACTCCAAATATTATTAGTAAAAAAAATATTTATTACATTCAATAAATTTCTTAATTCTTAGAGTAGAGCTCTTTGTGAAAAAGTTCGTCCACGGAAGAAGGTATTGCCACCTTACCTATTTCTGCCGCCAAGCATTAATGTGAACATTACTGCGTTCCGGTTTCGTAGGGCAAGGGTGCTGGTGAAATTACAGGCACATGGGACGTGTCATCTTATGTCTCAGGGTGTCGGACGCCGTGGCAGTGCCTCTCAGATGTTTGTGATTTAAGAGTAGCACTGCAACTGGAAGGGACAGCCGTGTCGCTTACCACGTATTATAAAAAAAAGAAAATTTTACATCGATGATTTCGATTGTACTGGAATTGCATTTTATGTTTGGTTTTCAGAATTTTTTTTACTCACATCTCAAAAGTTTAGTTACTTGACGTAGTACAAGGATAGTTAAAAAAAAAGAAAATCAAGTTTTTCTTATGATACCAACTGACTGGACGAACGAGTCGTGCACCGACACGCCGGTAAGCGACACGCCTATACATAGCAAACTCAGAGCTTCAAATCGCTAAGATTGAATCTGCCACAGCGTTCGTCACCATGAGAACTAAATTGACAAGTCCCATGTCCTTGTAATTTCACCAGCACCCTTACATTCAAAATTGGAACGCAGAAATGCTCACATTACCGCAAAAATAGGTTAGGTGACAGTACTTTCCTGGCCGAAGTCTTTCACTATGGGTCTAATGCTACTCAAATATAACAACTAACAATAATGTATGTATTAGGCAACTTTAGATTTGATTTTGTTCGTCAACCACTTTATTTTGTTTCCTCTTTGCATTGAAAAAAAAAAATTTTTATATTTTCTTTTTGTTACCACTTATACAGCATATCCAGCTATGCCGTGTAATTGTGAAGTAAAAGTTCTGGACGGACGATCGCAGCACTTAAATGGCTGCGGGTTCAACTCTGCACTCCAGAATGGCACACAGAATGATGAAAATATCCACAGTGGGCATCATCCCCACAGAAAGGTGTACGACGAAGAAGAGACGGAAGGCGAAGACGTTAGCGTAGATCGAAATTTAGTTAGGTTAGAAATTTTTTTAATGTCACAGGGCAGCGGTTTTTCAATTGAAGTTCTGTTTTTGCATTCTATGAGATTCACAGAATTGTATACGTGAATTTTACTGAACCCTCATAATGGTGGCACATTTTAAACACTTGCCCGCATATTTGTGGTCATCCTTTTGTAGAGTTCAAATTAATTATTTGTTGGTATGTGTTGTTTAACTGCCTCTGTGGCCGAACGGTTACCATACTGGACAGCCACGCAGAGGTCCCGGGTTTGATTCCTGTGCCGGCAGAAATATTTGTAGGGCCCACATTTGTTTCTCTCGTGAGTTTGGGTGTAATTTGTGGATATCTTTGTGTGTGTGTCCATGGTACCCGCGATACAGAGTTTCCCTATGAGTGTGTGCTTGTTGTGTTAAAAGTGTGTGTAATTCTGGACTCGAAAGGAACGAATAGTGTTAATATTTTAAAAATGACATCAAAACAGTAATTTGTACTTCAAACTCCTCAAACAATTAATTCTGGTTCTTAAATGTCTGTTACACTGATTTATCTTTCAAATTATAAATGACTTTACTTCAAAGAGGACTCTATTATCCGTTGAATATTAAGGGAAGAAAAATGGCAAAGGTTATTTGCCATTTATGAAGATTTTCAAAGAACTGAATTTTACATCTCATAACGATGACTCAAAATTACTACGTATACTAGTTGGTTAACCGCATTAAATTATAGCATATTAGCATTTCTTGCTGAGTTTGCAAATATATAAAAGAATCTTAAATAATTGTTTACTCTTGTACCGAAAGATTAATAATTGTGAATATACCATCATCACCGTCAGCCCATTTATGTATCCCACTGTTGGTCACGGGTCTCCTCTCAGTTGCGGGTTTAGGCCATAGTCCGCCATGCTGGATCAATGCGGGTTGGGGGCTTCTCACGTTTTCCGAGGGTGGTGAACTCCGAGGCACTGCTAAGAAAACCCAGACGAGAAGCATTTTTTTTATTTATAAAAATATAAGTGCGCATTTGACCTCCAACTCACCTGATGGAAATAAAATAATGCCTATTGACTCTCGCCTTTAAAAGGCCCAAGTTATAACGTTCGGAGAACAAGTCTGCAGGCAGGGAATTCCACTCTATAGTCGTTCGCCATATAAATTTGGAAGCGTAACGCTTTGTGCGAATCTTTGGAATATCCACAACATAGTGGTGGAACCCAAACCTGCGCCTAGTCCTCTGGTGATGGAAAGGCAGAATTAAATCGTGTAATTCCATCGCACTCTCTCCGTGATATATCCTGTAAAATACCGAAAAGCAGGCAATTTTACGGCGGTGTTCAAGGCTTTGCAGCTTTGCAATTTAGAAAAGTTCGCTTGCTGATGTGGACCTACGGGGAATCGATCTCGGGATCTTCCTCATTTACGGCTCACAGAATTAACCGTTGCGCCACAGAGATCGTTCATCGATTAATCTGTCTGGTACAGACAGACGGATCGATCGTTGACAAACGTTCTTTGCTTTTAGTTTCGATTTACTACTCAAAGAAAGTAGTATATTAATAGTAAATTATGTATAATAGAAATAGATTTTGTACTAACATATCACGCCGTTAATACAATAGTGTATTAACTCAAAAAGCGTATTTTTTTCAAAATCGATGAGAAAAGAATTACACACTTCTCGTGTAAGACTATTAAAATATATGTATAGGTTAATGTTTATTACAGATATCTAAACAATTTCCTACTTGCCAAATAGATTTAAAAGGGGAAAAAATGATTTTATACTTTTCAATAAGGTCTGTTTTGGCCAGAACTAGCTCACCAATTGTTTGTCTCATTTTTAGTTAAGTAAATATGTTTTAATTGTTTCTCACAATATTCTAACTACGGTTGTATAAAGAGATTAAAATTTTATGTTCAGCAATACTATCATAAAATCTTGAATTTCACATAGTTTGAGTTACGCCACTATTGCAATAACCGTGCGATACGTGGTCCGGGATTGATACAGACGTGGTTATATTTATGTCATCTACCACATACAATTTTGTGGAGTAAATTCAATTTCAAAGTTACGTAGGCTCATGTACTAGCGTGATGATTTTGCCTTTGTTATTTAGATGTGATGGGAAATGCTGGTGGTTAGTTCCTGTTTAATCTCAATTAGGTATAGTGGGTACATTTTGTATTCTATGTAACTTAAGCTTAGCTAACTTAACAATATTTTTATTTACTATGTACAAGTGCTTAAGTTAGGCAGATATGCTTAAGATAAAATCTGTAGCTCTATTGAAAAAGCGTACAAGTCTGATTTTGTCCAAATTTTTTTGAAGCCAAAAACATCAGAAAAAATAACGCGTCTATTAGTGTGAACAGATTTAATATATCTTTTAAAATAACGAACTTTTCTTGTGGAAAAGGGTACAATTATGATACAAATTCCAACGTGGAACGATTCATATATAGTTGTACTTCAATGAACAAAAGTTTACTTTGTGATTTTATTTGAATCAACTAGCACATGTTTAAAATTACGAAAACTCGGTGAATATCGATGTATCTGTCCATCTATACTTATTTACACTTGTGTTTTATTTTCATTCTGGATATAAGTCATTATCTATTAAACTAAGAGAAAAAATAATATTTCCATGTGAATGAGCATAATTTATTTAGTCCTTTGGCATACCACATTTATTGTATCTATATGTATTTATGTGAGCGTAACGAGTCTAAGTTCGAATCATATTAAGCGTTAACTGCATTTTGCGTCTCTACACGTGGATTTTTTGACTTGAACCCCTTTTCACTATAGCCACAGAAATATCTAAGTGTAAAAACAAATAGAGCAAGAAGCTAATGTTCTTTTGCTGTCAATATTGGTACCATTAAAGTACTTTTATAATATAACTGTTAACGAAATAAGTTTATATATATGTATTTAATAAAAATATATAAGATTTTCCCAAATTATGGAATGCGCGAAAGCGGAATGAACATTGTAAAACCGCACAAAGCATTGATTAATATTTGTATTGCCAGGTACCCAGATGGTACGGTGCGTCTTCGCAACCCGAACATCGAGCTTATGGACCAAGACATTCTGTATCACTTGGCGCTCGGCAGCGGCTCCCACGACCTCGTCGAGATGTTCGGAGACGTTAAGGTTTGATTTTGTGACAGTAACTACATTTGTATATAAATATTAACCGGAAAAATAATAACTTGACAAAAACTTGTTAATTTGATTGTCATTATGAGGTGCTCAGACACAAGACAATTTTTCATTGTTATTTGGTTTATTCAGCGAAAAATGGTGTATATTAAAACTTATGAGAATATTAAACAACAAACCATTTACATTTCACATTTCACATTACAAACCATTACATTTGACATCAAATGATGTACGAAAATTTGCATTGTTGGATAAGTCTTCTTCTTATTTTGGAGTTACGAGTTTAGATTCATATAAATTTTTTGTTGAAAAGCGTGAGATGTAGAGACTTGTACGCGATGTCTACAGTACAATGTAAAGATGTTCCCTATAATAATATTACAGAATACTAAGGCGTTAAAAACGGCGTCTGGGATAGTGTATAATATTAACGTATACATTTTGTATTGTCATCAATATTTTAATTTCATGAATATGTGACTACGATACTACCGCATCAATGTTCTCATAGATCTACGAGCTAAGGTTCCGCAATCCTGCTTCTCGATTCGCGTTGCGAACTCCTAACTTGATTAGAAGGTTACAGAACTTGTTATATCTATCAATAAGTTTTCCCCCGTTGTTATTAAAGTCTCTTCTTAAGGAATAACAGTGTCGTATGAGCTGTCGTCGTATAAGAAGCTTTACGGAGGACAGGAGACATTTTCGACGAAAGCCTAACTCTAAATCTGAGATGATGAGTTATAGTTCACAACTATGTTGGCATCTGCTTAAGAATCTCGTGATTGATTATGGCAAACTGTCTTTTTCACCCAACTACAGCGAAGTGATAAATAAGAGTAGTAATTTAAGAGACTTTAAGTAGATGACGTCGATTGCATGTTCACGTTCATTTGTACTAATGACAATCAATTAAGCAGGCTTTTAAGAATTGTTACCTATTGGATTTGATTAGTTGTGACTGCAAGAGTATGAAGACATCCAGTAAATAAATGAGAATAACAAAATGGTTTCAAAACTGAAATCACTACTAGAGAATAATTATAATAATTATAAGAAACTAGTGGAGTAATTTCACAAAAAATAATTGAATATCAATTCAATAAAAATTTTATTAATACAGTGAATAGCGACATCTCTCGCCAGGACTGGTAGCTGTAAAGGTACTAACTGGGTGATAAATATGTCATAGATTTCTCATAGATGGCGCTACGACTAAAAAGTCGTTGAAAAACCAAATACAAAGACACGACGCAAGCACATAGAGGAATTCGTAAGGTCCGTTGGTTCGGTCCGTGGCTTAGTTGGTATAGCGTCTGGCACGGTATGCAAGAAGACGTCGGTTCGAATCCGACCGGACCGAAGGAATTTTTTCTGAGTGTTCGATCTTTGTATTAATAATTATAACAAACTAGTGGAGAAATTTCACAAAAAATAATTGAATATCAATTCAATAAAAATTTAATCACTACTACAGAGTTCAAAACAGTGAGTAGCTTATTTACGTTGTACATACATATAAAAGTTCGGCCTTCGACTGCCGATGATGAAGCTTGTTTCGTACTATTTAGTAGTCGAGATGTAGTCTTTTAAACTAATATTTTATTCAAGAAGCTTACTTATATCTAATGTGTTTCCAATATCTCGGGAGTCTGTTTATGAATGACAATGACATAATAAAATGTAAATAAAATATTAGTAAATATGTATTGTTATTTGCAGTTTGTGTGTATGGGGGGTACACCGAAGCGCATGCAGGAATTCGCGTTCACCATCATGCAAGAGATAGGCCACAAGCTGCCCTGCGGCACCACGCTCCATGACATCAGCCAGTTCTCTTATCGATATTCCATGTACAAAGTTGGACCCGTGCTTTCCATTAGTGTAAGTATCATAACATTACCGGTTCTGTATTTCACAAATGTCTTTGGTTAATTTGATAGATCAGTTTGATTGTCGAATTTGAAAAAGTCTTCTACATAAAATGTAAACATTCGTGGTGCCAAGTTGTTGTTGTCGAGGAATAAAATTACTGTTCAGTAAAAGAATGTTCGCCCACCACTAAGATACATACCTACCTATGTAATAAAAATGTATCTACGACACATGTAGCTCAAGTTATAGCGTGCGATTTCATCTTTTTGGCCGGATCAATAGGGTAACACGGACAATTACAAATCCATACAATGAGGTCAAAGGTGCGCAATCGAATTTGTATGAAAAACACTTTTCACGGTGTATTAAGTTTTTTATATAGGTATACTGATCAATAAAAATCAAAAGTAGATGTTGGACAAATATCTATTAGACACTTCTACACATCAATCAATCAATCAGCCTATTGCAGTCCACTGCTAGACATAAGCCTCCCCAAGTGTACGCATCCAACGCTACCCGCCACTTTCTTCAGATCGTCGGTCCATCTTGCAGGGGGATGTTCTTCGTTACGTTTGCCGAAACGTGGTGTCCACTCGAGAACCCGTCTGCTCCATCGCTCATCGGTTCTCTGCCAGATGTGGCCTGCCTACTGCCACTTCAGCATGCTACATTTCTGGACGATGTCCACAACTTTAGTCTTATGCCGATGATAACTTCGTTCCGAACTTTGTTCCTTAACGAGCAGCATAGACGTTTCCATAGCTCGCTGAGCGACGTGTAGTCTGTGAGCCAGTTTGACCGCCATATTCCACGTCTCGGCTCCGTGAGTCATGACCGGTAGGACGCATTGGTTGTAAACCCTGGTCTTTAGGCACTGTGTGAGTGGTGACGAGAAGACATGACGCAGTTTCCCAAATGCTGCCCAGCCCAGCTGCAGTCTCCTAGCTATTTGCGCTCGAAGTTGTCTCTGCCTAGTTGCAGGCTTTGCCCGATGTATAGATTTCTACACATAAAAATACTGAAACACTTTATGATCACGTGTTGTTACGTATCAATCAGAGAGAACTCTATTCGAGATGGATGTAATGGATGTAATCACTCGAGTATAACAGAAACAATTGCACTTGCCCTTTGTTTACACAGATTACAAACGCTCCTTGACCTTATTGGTACAGTGTTTTAAGTCGATTATTGCATTCTGACGCGAGACATCAGCTGACAAACATATTTATAATGCAATTGTTTTTTTTGTTTGTATTGTACAATACAGTCTATTGTATACAAAATTTCGTGGGCGATGAAATGTTATATAAATACATAAATTACGGTGGAAATTTAATGTCTTTTTGAATAAGTTGACAATAGCGCAAAAAAAATGTAGTGTTATCAAGTCAGCCTATCAAGATTCTTGATAGACTCGATCACAATATGATTAAATTCATTGCTTTAAATGATTGTTCAATCTTCATTAAAATAGTTGCATCAATCATGCTTGAAAGGCTCAGATGGAAATAAGTTACATTATCTAAACAACACTTTGTTTATTTCAATCACATTTCTTTCCCAGTAGGTATAGTTACATAAATAGACAATCGAGTGAGTGAGATGCGTGAGTGGAAGGCCACTCACGAATAACATAAATTATTCTACTTGTCAAAATTACATCTCTCTCTATAATAAGGCTGAGATTTATAAAATGAGCTTTGAGTACGACTAAGCAAAGATAGCAAGCTAAGAAAGTTTTTCGTATGTACTAAATTAACTTTGATTAAAACTGTTTAAGTAGTAGTAATTTTAACTATTTAAGTTTAAGCAAGAAAATAAATGAAACTGAGTTTACTCCGTGAATTCTTGCTTAAACTTTGGTAAAGTTGTTTTAGTAAATACGACTACCTTGCTTAGCTCGCCACTTTTGTTTAGGCGAAATCAAAGTTCGTTTTGTAAATCTCAGCTTTAGAAAACACGAGAACTATTCCTAACAAATGTTACAATTACGAGTGCTTATTATTATCACGCATTGACTGAACATTCTCAATTGAGACAAGTTAACGGGTGTCGTTTTGTTGCGCTATATGGTTCTGAAGTACATTTCCATGCCATGTGACTCGACACGTGCTGTTGAGTAGAAATTGGTTCACTCTGGTTTGTATTTAATATCTATTAAAAAAACATAAGAAACTTTTGTCACTAAATCTATCACGTACATAATGTCTTCGAATGCATACAAGATAGACGGACGTCCACTCGCTTTATTGTTGTTCCTTATTAACTATTAATTCTTTGGAAATTAAACTTTATTTGTTTTATTCAAACAAACCAACTTTTCTGGCTCTCTGACACTGTTACGTTGGCTTGTTTGTAAAAACAAATACACACAATTTACCTAGATCCGGAAATAATACTTTCAATTCCAATGTAGGTATACCAATTGCGGAAACCTAACAACTCGATACTTACTATTATAAAAGAAAAACACGTCTTCAAACGTGTTTTTGATTTAAAATGGTACTTACGTCCATTTATGACCTCCGTTTTTTACTTGATTCTTTCCTTTGTAAAACTATTTTTTATTATTTAACTTAATTTTCAATTCCGTATCTACATTTTGTATCTACATTAGGCTTTACGATTTTGTGAAGTACGTGAGGAACACTTTAAGTTTCCGGAATGAATAAGAAAAAATACTTTAAATGGTCAGAAATTGTTTTCAGAAACATTCTCCGTTAGCGTTAATGCACTTTTTCATACGAATGAACCAATTTTGAAAACATTTATGCCACTCCTCCGTGACAATCTCTGAAACATATTTTTCATACTCTTTGATAGCCTCTTTAGGTGATGAAAATCGTTGACCGCGTAACTGGTTCTTAATTTTTGGAAAGAAATAAAAGTTGCAAGGTGCCAGGTCGGGATTGTACGCGAGATGGCTCATAAGGTCAACGTTGTTTACCTTCAAAAATTTATTTGTCTGTCTGGCCGTGTGAGATCTGGCATTATCGTGATGCAAGATGATAAGGCGTTTACGGTTATTTTTACGGAGTTTGTCAATAACTTCCGGCCAACAAATGGACATGTATCAATCACTATTCACGGTACAACGATTCTCCAAAGCAACAGTAGCCACGTGTCCAGTTTTATTAAAATAAGAAGCAATAATCCGCTTAGAGGCACTTTGCACGCGCGCCACTTTGGTTGGTTTCGGCTCATCTCGAAAGACCCATACGCGCGATTGCCGCTTTATTTTGGGATCGTTACTATAAATCCATGTTTCGTCACCTGTTACTATATACCACACCAAATTTGACGCCCCTTCGTTGAATCTGGTAAGCATGGCATTCCACCAAGTGACGCGATCCGTTTTTTGAGCCTCAATCAAATTGTGTGGGATCCACCGAGAGCATAGCTTTTTCACACCCAAATGTTTGTGTAGTCTTTATTGTATTTTACTCATACCTATGCCTAATGCCCGAATTTTATGGTATGTCACATGCCTGTCTGTTTTGATCATACGGCGCACAGAATCAATGTTTTTGTTGTTCCCAGCAGTGGACGGGCGACTATCATGAAATTCGTCACTGAGATTCACACGATTGTGTTTGAACTCTGCAAACCATCTATAAATAGTCGTCTTGCATTGCGATTCATCGCCAACGGCAGTTTGAAGCTGAGCGAAGCTCCGCTGAGCTGTTCAATTACGCTTAAAGCCGTCGAAAATCATACTACGAAAATTTTAATAAAAAATATAAATAAAATTTTCATGAATTAAATCCATGGTGATGTAGACAACCAATTTCTAAAATGACGCCACAATGTAAAAACAAGTGACAGTCAGATGAAACAGACTGTATTCTACAGCCAAAGAGTTCCATTTTCAAATGTATTTTAAAAAAAATATTGTTTATGTAAGTGGCCAGTTCCGGAAACTTATAGTGCGCCCTATGTATTATGTCAGTCTGCTGCCGCTACGAGGTTGAACTCTTTAAGGAAACCACTGTGTGGTGGTATTGGCCAAGTATCGTGAATCTAAATAATTTCATAAATAATATAAAGTTATTTGTTGCGCAATTCATCAAATATGTATACAAGTTATAGAGTGAAAATCGAAAACCAAAATTAATCAATATTCAGCACGTGATTGATCGTGTGTGTTGAATGCTACGGGGATATTTGGCGAATATCGTTGATAAGAACCTAATTCGATTCTAGTTTGTTTTGGAATAATTAAACGATCTATTTTTGCTACAGTATTTCTAATTTACGAGGTGTTATTGGGCGATTGTGTAAAAAGTTTTCTTCCATTTATGAGCTATTCATCGTAGAAGCGGGTAGGGAGAGGACCTTACACATCTTAGAATTAGTTTTGCGAATTTTTTGTCATGATAGAATTTCGTGATAGAAATGATAGAATTTCGTGTCATGTAGGTTTCATAAAAAAAATAGATTTGATCGCGATTCATTAATATGACGTGCTATACATAGCACACGAAACCAAATGTTCTCGTAACTAAAAAAATTGTGAAATTGAGAAAACACGATTTGAAATTTCAAAAAAAATACTGAATGGATATTACTGCGAATAATGTGATTATTTATATTTATACATAATATTTAGTTATCCATTTATAAACGGGAATATAAACTTAATGGTTTCATTCGGTAAATTTTTGAACTTTCGTTTCGAAAATGTAATCGGGTTTTCTCAATTCCACAATTTTTGAGTCACGACGTATTTGCTTTATGTGCAACATTATATTGGTCCTAAATTTTCAAATTACTCTTTAATCAAAACACATGATTTCGTACAAAAGATAACGTAATAGTACATTATTGCAGAAGCCGGAAAGTAAGGGATTGCTGGACGAGTAAGAGTTAATAGTGAAATAGTAAAAGACTAAAGAGAGAAAGATATATAATAGAAAAAGTAAAAAAATATTAATTAACATAAAAATTTATACAATACAATTGCTAAAAGAAAAGGTTATTTGTAAGTGTTTTTCCAGGCACTTTAATAATAGTCTGTTAATCTTCTAATGATATGTTTGAACTTAGAATCATAACGCATAGAATGATAGTTTCATAAAAAACGAACTGTCACAAGTGAGGTAAAAATCAAATTCATGTAGGCGTAAGCAACTTGTATTTACGCTCGTCGGCACGCACACAAATATACAAATAACGATGCCATGGGATAACATTTCCCTCAAAAGTGGGGAAATTGTATCTTGCTTAACTCATCGTTAAGTTAGAGGTGCCTACAGATCTGCTCGATTTTGTCGATCGACAATGCCGATCAGGTGCCTACAGATATGCTCGATTTTGTCGATCGTTACTGTTGATCGACAACGTCAAGTGATAGGAATTTTCAAAAATTTATTTTTGGTAATCCTTATGGAAATGGCATTTATATCTGAATACACGAAGGCGAACACGACTTTTCTCATTTCTAAATCCAAGATGGCGGACACGTCTTATCAAATAAATGCAATATGGGAATCGTTTTCAAGGTATTCGAGGTGCTCATCACGAATATGGCATTTATTTCTAAATCCAAGATGGCGGACGACTTTTGAAATAAATGCAATATGGGTATCATTTTCGAAGTATTTGGGGGTGCTCATTACGAATATGGCACTCATTTCTAAATCCAAGATGGCGGGCACGATTTTTCATATAATGGCAAGTTGGGGATCGTTTTCGAGGTATTTGGGGGTGCTCATTAGGAATATAGCACTTATTTCTAAATCCAAGATGGCGGACATGACTTTTCAAATAATAGCAAGTTGGGTGTTGTTTTCAAGGTATTTGGGGCTGCTCATTCCGAATATAGCACATGTTTCTAAATCCAAGATGACGAAGAATTAGAAGAAGAAGAATTAGAAGTCTTGTCCGCCATCTTGTATTCAGATATACATGCCATTTCCTTATGGTTTACCAAAAATACATTTTTGAAAACTTTTGTCAACCATCTTGAATTTTGAAATTAATGCTACATTCGTAATAAGCACTCGAAAACGTGTCTAATTCTCAATCGTTACTGTCGATCGACAATGTCGAGCAAATCTGTAGGCACCTTATTAAATACTACCTAATTTTTATTTAACTCATATATGAACAAAAACCTACAAGCGAGTTTAAGTGCGACTATCGAATTTGAATATATAAATAGCCTGATATTATCTGTGGGTATGTTTACATGAAAAGTACACGATAACAATAAAGAACCTGAACCTGAAAGTTATTTATACACGATTTTGGAGAACTGACGATGACTTTTTAGTCAGTGTTAGTTCCCTGAAATAATTTTAGTTAAGAACTTTTGAGTCTGGGCAAGACAATTTTTTTAAATGTTTGTATGATGAACAAGCATAATGATTTTTCACATGAAACTAATGAAGGCAAATACTAAATATATTTCGTAAAAATAGCTAACGTAAATTCCCTACAATGTTGTTGCGGCGGTGTACATTTGTAGAAATTTTGCAACCGTCGCGATATTGCCTATTCTCAAAAAATTACGTAATATAATTATTTTGAAACAGAATAGCAAAATGGGGAGAAAAAACCCGGTACTTTGCAACATTTTCGTATCTTGTTGCAACGAAATTAATTTTCTGTTTTAGTGAATATTTACATAAAAATACAAGTTATAATACGTAATATAATACGTAGTAATAGTAATAATAAATAATACGTTACTTCATAAAATAGTAAATAATACGTTACTTCCTTGTGGAATGTGATGTTAGTGTCTATTTTATGTTTGTCTGATCTATTTTTAAACGCAATTACCGCACATTTCGTCATTTTTTTTTACAAAAATTTTTAAGCTGTTCGCGGTGCAACTTGACCTTGAGCACTGACAGCCCGGTCACTCGTGTAGGCCCATAGGGCCCCCTACAATTTGCCTCACTTAGCGTGTGCGGGCTAGGTTTCTATGCGTTATTATTCTAAGTGTTTGAATGTGTATCTATTACTATATTTTCGTTACCGCTCTTCTCAATAGCACTCATTTTCGCGACCAAAATACACGAAATAGACGAAAAACAAAAGAATACCAAAACACTTTAGTTTAAATGTTACCGCGATTTTCTTTTTTTTAAGTAAGCGGTACAGGTAGGTATTTTTAATTTTCGTAGTTATAAACACTGGGCATTTGGCTGTATGAGTTTTTTATCTGCCTGTTTAAATAGTTCATTAATAGTATATAGATTTAAAAGTTTATACCTACAAGAGGACAGTAATGGATTTTCATACTTACTTTGCAGGGAAGAAGTCGCATGGTCCATAAATAATAAAGTTTCCGTGTTCATTTTTTGAAAGTAATGCAAACATTTCCAAGCATGTTTGAAAAAAAAAAGTTTTCCATAATACTATTTTCTAGAGTAGGAATGCCAAATTCCCTGGCGTGAAATAAGCAGTATTGCATTTTATAATAACGCCAGTTTGGCCCGCTTCCACTATAGGCCGCTGTCTCTTTATTTATTCACATCTATGTCCGCTTTTTGAGCACACATGCTCTCATTGGGATAACACGAATTATGTAAAGAGAGACCAAAACTCACCTTAGGCCTTAATTCAGTAAACTACAAAGATTTTTTGTAATATTGGCTTAGAACTACCACAGTTTGCTCGGTAGTTATTTAACCATTTTGTTCTTTATTATTAGATACAGGCGTCATTTATTGATCATTTGATCAATGATTAATAACTTTTAGTAGTATGGTACTCTAAATGCCATAATACGACGTTATGCAATATATGTAACTACTAGGTCTCTCGCTACATTTCCGCGTCCTGGAAAGACAATGCGCAATGGAAACAAACTTTCTAGACTTTTTCAAAAGTAGATTCCTATATTATAGGCTAGGTCTTATAGTCTTGGTATTCAGACAGTTAAAACAGAATAATTTTAATTAAGTTTTCTATTAACTCTTACAAAATCTCGAAATCCTTTTCCTTTAGGTTTATAAAAAAAAGTATTTAATTTCTGCCGTAAAATTAATATTTAATATCATATTATAATCAATTGCTCCTAATGCCTACATGCAATTTTAATTAGTCTATTAAAAAAAATTATAATATAAAAATGTCCCCAACATCATTCCCTGACTATGTCCCAAGTTCCATAATCAAACACATTCTGTGCTTCAAATCAACACATTTAACAAAACTAACCTTTAAATATTAAACATTCGATCAAATAAAATATGTTTTTGCAAAATTATAGCTATCCACGATTAAAACACAATAAATAAGTTTAAAAAATTTATTATTATTCGTGTCCCAACCAAAAAAAATCATTCCCTCACACTTTTACCTTCACTCGATTTGTGAACGCATTTTTAATCTTTATGAATGTGTGCATTTTGTAAGTTATTAAAAGTGAACATCTCAAAAGTAAGTTCATATCGCTATTTTTTCTTAGTTTATTTTGTTTTTGTCATTCCCTCACCCTCAAATGTTCTGACTGCTCTATACATTTTCTTAAAAGTTATTTATTTTGGCAACCACTATATCATCAAAAACTATTTACATAACTACTACGACATTGACAAAAAATAAATACAAATTCTTCCTACAAATTTTCATAAATATCGGAAGCACAAATTGAATCGAACTGCCTATAAAATTACAAGTTATTTATTCATTTTCTTATTGTACCTACCTACATTTGATTAAGTTTCGATCTTCAGTTTCCACAGTTGATAATAAACTCCACTGTATAGTGTTTGCCAGTTTGTTATGACTGTTAGTATTCAGTAAATTTTTAATGTTTTTTAATTAACCTTCTAAGGCCCCGTGTATATCAAAACATACATAATATGTGCAGAAGTGATTCAGATCCAGACAATATTATTCCTCATGATGACGTAAATATCAAGTCTCTCTCTCTCATCTTAGCGTTGTCCCGGTTGCGTCCTCAGCAGGGTTGCTGCGGAGCCCGGGGTCCGCTTTCCTACTTTTTCTCCTCCACGTAAATATCAAGTGTACATTATAATTAAAAAAAATAAAGAATTTATTATTATTTTATTATTATTTATTATTAATTATAAAATATCGCATTAAAATTTAGCGCTATAAATTCTATATGACCATAGAGTATCTAGAAAAATACGTTTTTCATACAAATACTTGCTACCTTGGGTATTAGGAGGTTAAGTGACTTAAGTGTCCAATCTCGATGTTCCCGAGACTGAAAACAGTCTCGAGTCTCGAAATTTTCGAGACCTAGAATCTCGGAATGAAATAACCACTGTATACAGAAACGGTGTTTAGGGTAGGAGTAAGGAAGTCATGTACGAGCCTATGTCCTAACTGCTATGGATGATATTATTGTTATGATTACTTGCTAAAGTTAACGCTGTGCTACTTTCAGCATGGCATGGGTATCCCATCAGTGGGTATCCTGCTCCACGAGGTGATAAAGCTGATGTACCACGCGAGGGTCCAAGACCCGGTATTCTTCCGCATCGGCACGTGCGGTGGCATCGGGTATGAGGGTGGCACTGTCGTTATTTCTGATGAGGCCGTTGACGGAGCGCTGAAAAATGCTCTGGAGTTGGTGAGTTATTGCATTTTTTATTTTATTGAATATCATAATGTTTTTAACACTGTGATTATTTATGTATTGGTGAAAATACTCCACTAGTTTGTTATTATTATTGTTGCAAAGATCGAACAACACAAAGAAATATTCCTTCGATCTGACTAGACTTGAACCAAAGTCTTGCCACACCGGGCCATCATTCTTGCCATCTGACATTTTTTTTGTGGGGAAATCCTCCTATAATTCTATTCTAGAATTCTACAGGCTAAAACCCCATGGTGGCCTTCTCGGGTGCTCTAGTGGGCGGAATGCGGGATCGACTTTGCGCACCGCTTTGCAACCTCCCCAGCACATGAGATGAGCTACGTCCTCCCCCTCCCCCTTCTCACGACGAAGCGGGCCACACCGCCCCGTCGGCCTTCTCGTAGCTGCCAAACTTACTGGCGAATGAAGGCCGCGGCCGCGAAGGTACGCCGTCGCCGAGCAGGATCGGCCGTCGCCGAGCAGGATCGGCCCTCTCCCGATCACGCTCGGCAATCTCTTTTTGAAGCATCACCGCTTCACAGAAGGAGACCCTGTCGCATGGGACTCTTGATCCGTCAGCATAGCCGCTATTAGCCATCTGACCTACAACCGACTCTGACCCGGCTCGAGTCCAGGCACATCTAAGGATTTTTTTTTTGTGTTCGAACTTTGTATTAATAATAATCCAAACTAGAATTATAAATGCGAAAGTAACTTTGTCTGTTACGTTTTCACGCCTAAACCGCTGAACCAAATTTGATGAATTTGGGTATAGAGATAGATGGGAGCTGGACCTAGGAGAAGGACATACTTTTTGTCACAAAAATAAATCTTAACGGTGAAGTAGGGGTTGAAAGTTTATATGGAGAACCAATAATTTCTCAAGTAGTACAGTAGGTTACTCGAAGTACTTATTCTACCCAGACGAAGTTGCGGGCACCAGCTAGTAAGTGTATACATACCTGCAAAACTATGGTGAAGACTTAACTTATAGGAATGTGTGTAACCGTCATATACATTACATATTTGCTTGAACTGTAGTGGAATCCTCGCGGTACTGAATATATACTCAGACTAGGACTGAGCGTTATTTTCCGAAAGCGTTTCAAGAAACTCTTTCAATGTAACGAGAAAACGCTTTCATGTAGGTTTCAGAAACGGTCACTAAAGAAACGACATTTTAAGAAAACGAAACGGACTCGCACTGCAAGTCATGTATGTATGTAGTTATTTGTCAATGGCGTTACGTTCTTCAAACATGTTACGTTACTTGTGTGCGACTGGATAGAAAACAGTTCATTCGTTCGTGATTCGTTCCAATCATGCGTTACAGAAAAAAAGACTTTATTATGTTAACTTAGGTTACATTTTATAAAGTAAAGTCCCAAAAACAGAAACTGTTACGCTACCGTTCGAAATCGTTTCACTGTATCTTTGTAAAATAGATCTTATGCTAGATGCATTCAGTTGATATTTCTATGACAAATTAGACCGCCTAAAGTACGTTTCTTTTTAGAAAATAACCGTTTCGTTTCGTTTTTCAATAAAGACGTTATAACCCAGCTTTAACTCAGACACACATAAAGGTTTTTTTATGGTACTAAGTGCACAAAGATCTGAGGAGCACTGCCACTGTGCCTGTCACCCTGAGACTTAAGTTGACAAGTCACTTCAAAACCGGAACGCAATAATGTTCACATTACTGCTTGGAGGCAGAAATAGGTAGGGTGGCAGTACTTCTCTGGACGAACTTTTCACAAGGAGCTCTATTGCTACTCAAAGGTACAAATAATGGACACTGTTTTAAGTTTTAAATGTGAACGTTACGTAAATGATAAGGTAGTTTGTACATCTCTAGATGTGGCCCACTGTTGTAGTGATCAATCAAACGACGATTTTGTCGAAATTTACTGCAGATCTTGCGCTTATTATGGCCACAAAGAGAGTTATTAAATAGAGATAGCGTATTTGAACTAATGATAATGAAATGTATCAGTAGATGAATGAACCTTGGTTATACACTTCAACGAACTACTGAAAGTCAAACATAGGCCTCAGTGAATAAATGAAACTTAGTCAAATAGGTACAGTAGGTATGCGTCATATAAAGTTGATATTATGATAAGGAGACTAAAAACTGCGACAGAAATAGCCATTTCTTAGAAACACCAAGTAAATACTGTGGTTTAGACTTTCCAACATTTTGCTTCTACGAATGTTGTTTTTCCAAAACCGTTTTTGTGGTAATACATACGTAGAACCATGTGTTTGCAATTTGTGTGCGTTATGTTTATTTTAATTATTTTACTGAAATTAACATGGTCGATGTTAGAAAAACAGTGTGTTTATTATATTTTTGTAGTCCACATAAATTAATACGTGATAAGAACGATTTGATTAGATCAACACGCGTTGCGGAGCCTCGAGTCACGTGGCGTATTAGGGTGAAGCCAGACGAGCGTAATCTTGTCAATTGAGAATCGCGTTTTTTGAGTTGCTATGTTTACGCTGCCTTTGGTTTCACAAAATGACGCAAAATGAGAGTTGTCTGCCGACTCCCGGGCGCAATACAAACATTTATTGCCCACTGGCAGTACTTTACAAATTGATCTGAATATTCACATAAACTTTTATTTTATGAAACTGCCCATTCTTTGATATTTCCATATTGTGAAGGTGTCCCTAGCTTTCTTTCCTTATTGTATTTAGTAGGAGTAGAGCTCCTTGTGAAAGAGTTCGTCCAGGCAAGTACTGCCACCTTACCTATTTCTGCCGCCAAGCAGTAATGTCAGCGTTATTGTTTTCCGGGTTTGAAGGGTAACATTACAGGCATATGGGACTTGTCAACTTATGCCTCAGGCTGACGGGCACTGTGACAGTGCCCCTCAGATCTTTGCGATTTAAAGCTCTGAATGGCACTGCAACTGTTATGGACAGGCGTGCACATTACTATTGAGCGTACAACTTGTTCGTCTCGTCCCTTGATGTTATAAAAAAAGTCTAACATCGTCTAATGGTCCATTACATTATATAACACAAATACCCCGTCCGTACAAACCCTTAAAAGCAACTTTCTTTCTTACTTCCCATCATGGTGAAAGAATTTGCCAATCGGCGTAAGTACCCAGGATGCGCCGGGAACAACAGGAAAGGAATGCTTCGACGTGTGTGGTGGCTCCGTACATGCACCCCACACTGCAACAAATACACTCCCTAAGCAACTGAATAGAATACGTTCGTCTGGGGTCCCAACCGAATTTAGTTACGTATGTAGTTTACTACGAGACTTAAAAAACGCAATTCCCAATTCACAAAATTACGCTCGTCTGTTCTCACAATAACGTTCTTACTACCAAAGTCATCGCTATCAAATAACAAATAATATGTATAAACAAACCTGTTGTAAGTTTCAATTTTGATTTTTAGTACCTATTGAGAAATCCTAGTGCCTAGAGCCTAGTGCTCTTTAGGCTGGAAATTTATGATTATATTCTTTTATATCTGTCTTTAAGCAATTAACAGTTTTCTACGTCTTTTTTGATACAGAGGTCAAAGTTTGTGATGAATATATTTTCAGTAAACAATATGGTTATGATAACTTATTATCTTTAGGTACCTAATTACCAACATTTTTGTTATTTTATTTTACATAATAATGTAAATAAAAAAGTAATATAATTGTACAGGTATTGGTTATTTTAATACATATAAATGCAATTGCAATTCGCAAAATTCTTTTCAATTTTCTTCAATACCTGCTATCTTATGTCTTGCGTTTGTTCCTTGTGTATCGCATCACTACGAGGCATCCTGAGTTGTTGATTGTTCGACTCTCGGCTGAAGAAACCCGGTATTCTTCGGTATTCTCACATTGATTTGAAAATGGAAGCATTTCCATTAATATGGATTTTCGGAAAGCAACGTATTATCCATATATTTAGTAGTATTATCATACCCATAGATACAGAAAAAAAAGGTCATACCACATTGATAACAAATTTTTCCAGACGGTTCTGGGTAAGACTGTGCAGCGACCGGCAAAGCTTGACCGAAGACTCGCGCGCGAGCTCAAAAGCCTCACTGACCCTGAGGATCCATATGACACGATCATCGGGAAAACTATGTGCACTTATGACTTTTATGAAGGTACGTGAGAGAATTAACTCAATTTATCAATGTAACGTAAGCACAAGTTTGGGTCTTCAAGTCTTCTTGAAATGAAAGCAATCTGTATGAATATGCTTAAGTTTTATTTAGCAATAACAAATCTATTATGTTTTCCGTTTTGCCTTCTTTATGATGATTAAAAATCATTAATACATATATGCTGTAGGACATAGTTTCCCAAAGTGGTCCCAACTGGACCCCAGTGGGCGCTGAAGAGTCCTAGAGGGTCGGTAGGAGCCTCGGAGGCAATTGGGGGTTAATGCTGTCCAGGGGGTGCCACCGCATTTGAAAAAAACAAACCTGAATTATTATTAATCTATATAAACTGCACTACTTACATGTATAATTCTTTTCCTTGTAATTTTTTGTGTTAATATAAAAAATACGTGTTTTCAATTTTTTTTTGTTGTGGTGGGTTGGAATTTTTTTATCTTGCCAAAAAAATTGTGAACCTATGCTGTAGAAGATTCAAGAATAATACCCTCTTATGACCCAGAACTTTATATCAACGGGTTTCTAGAATGGCCGCTATTCTTAAATAATTACCAAACTCAGCAGTAAGATTGTTTAAAAATAACTAGAGAATATCTAAAATACAAGGCCGAGGTACCGTACAGGCCCATGTTATGACGTGATTATTTTAAACAATAAAAAGCTCTTTTTTTTTTTGCACAATAAAATTAAGCTCATTTAATTGCCTCCGTGGTCGAACGGTTACCATGCCGGATTGCCAGGCAGAGGTCGTTGGTTGGATTCCCGGGCCGGGAGAAATATTTTATGGCCTACATTTATTTCTCTCGTGAATTTGGGTGTAATTTGTAGTTGTCTATGTGTGTGTCCATGGCATCCGCGACACAGGGTTTTCCTAGTGCGGGGCTATGTTGAGTGTGTGCGTTATTATTATTATTATTGTCATTGCAACTGCGTAATAAGACAAAAAATATTTTTTTTTTTGTTAAGGCCATCATTCTAAAAGCAGCGATATGCATGCACGAATTCATTCTAATTGATAATTGTTCCGTTGATATTTTCGTACTGGCTGATCCTCATACTTCATAACATCATCAAATATTCCATAAATTCTACACATGTAGCGTGACCAATTAAAACTATAAAAATAACTTTCGAACTACTCACCTAATAATCAATAACACTTACAGGTCAAGGACGTTTGGACGGGGCGTTCTGCGACTTCACAGAGAACGATAAAATGGAATATTTGGAGAGCATCCATAAGTCTGGAGTGGTTAACATTGAGATGGAGTCTTTATCTTTTGCTGCACTTACGCACCATGCTGGTATTAAAGCTGCCGTCATTTGTGTGACTCTCTTGGATCGCCTTAAGGGTGATCAGGTAATATTTAACTTATGTTGAAATGATAGGTTTGCCAACTTGATAATTCATAAAAAGTTATAGTTGTATAAGCTTGACACTTAGACTTAAATCCAACTCTATGCCGCTTACGATAAAAACGGTCAAAAGTACAAAATGTCAAGCTTGACGTGTTCTTAACTATACATAAGACAAAAGTACCACAAAGGAAACAACACAGTTTACGTATCTCTGATAATACGAGATTTCAATATGAAACAAAGATTATTTAACTTTGACTTTGAGATATATATTAAAGTACCAATTGTGATTTTAAGAAAATACTGCATGTTGTTTTGAATAAGCCTGAGAATGATATTGCTGATAAAAAATCAGCAATACAGGTGAAGAAAAGCAAAGAGATGAACATTATTGGGTTATAACTATTTCAGGTATTAGCACCTAAGGAGGTGTTGGACGAGTGGCAAACGCGTCCAACGAAGCTGGTTTGCCGTCATATTAAGAGGTAACACTGAAGTAAAACTCTTTCTACAATTATAATCACAGCTAGTAGCAGTAGAGCTCCTTGTGAAAGAGTTCGTCCAGGGAAGTACTGTCACCTTACTTATTTCTGCCGCAAAGCAGTAATGTGAGCATTATTGCGTCCGGTTTTGAAGGGTAAGGGTGCTGGTGTAACTACAAGCAGATGGATTTGAGATTGAAATATACATACTTATGTACCTACACATTTGTATACAAAATTTCGGGCCCTTTGCAGGTCTCCTGGTCGTGGCTGACTGTCAACAGGTTTAAATAAAGAAATACACCCGATTTAGATTCATTTGTATAATTGACATTTTTTGTGAAACAATTCCTGTAATTTTTATTGATTAATACAAAGATCGAACACATAGAAAAACTTTTCCGACCAGACCCATCTGGTTGAAGTCCCAACTTGAACCCACGACCATACTCCACCGTAGTATTGCTATTACCAACGGAGCTACGGGTCAAGTTATTGAGTTATCGAAATTTTCCTACGTGTTTTTGTTAAAAATCTTTGTACTGGATTTTTCGGCACTCTGCTCCGCTAGTGACAACTAGCGAGAGATTTTAGAACCTTCTTCACCGCAGCCAGCACCTTTACAGGTACTTCGACTGACGTAGATGTCGCTTTTAGATCAAATGTATTAGGTATTGAGATAGTTTCATTTCCTATGTGTAACAGTCGCGTAAACCTAGAACTCGATATGTAAATTGATGTAAATTTCAAAACTGCACTTCAATTAATTACTTTTATTTAATTCGTAGGTACCTGCAGATGAAGGGTCGTCTGTCACTGGATGGGCACGGCTCTATAGCAGTAAAGAGCCCTCGACGCTTCAAGCTCGTGCAGCAGGAATCCGAGACCTACGATTAATGTATAACCGACATACTGCACTCGATACTAGCGAAGTACACTGCGCCTTCTAAAAGCTTGAACGCAAAATGTAAAAAAAAGATAAGGAATATTCTGTCAGTCAATCCACCATTTTTTATTGTACGCAAACGCTGATATATACGGTCTAGTATAATTTGTGAAGGCGAGTTGCCTTCTCTGATGGAATATTCTTTATTAAAGTTCTGACAACTGCGACGGGGCTTAATATTACGCTAATCATTCACTGATTATCAAATAACACTATGATGTCGCTGCCTTTCAAGAATAGTAACTCAAGCCAAAATAATATTTTTTTTATTTATAACACGTATTCTCAAACCTTTTTCGTTTTTGTTTATTAAAAACGTCGGACCGGCCTTCGGCTAATATAATCACGTAACGTTGGACAAGTATTCGATTAATATCATCTTCCTGACGAATTAGCTGTTTTTGAGACAGGGCGCTATTCTAGAAAGCCATCGACCATAGTATAATGACCAAATATAGTAACTGCATACAAACGTAGCAGCGCGGCTGCTACGTGTGAATGTCGATCGTGCTCCGTGTACGGACGCACACATTCGCCTAATAGCTAAAGGCGCGTGAGACGCGAGTTACATCGCAAGATTATGCGTCTTTTTTATATGTAAAAATAAGTGCGCATTTGGCCTCCATCTCCCCTGATGGGAAGTGACGATGAGGTCGACTGTCACCTTTTTTCACTGTCGCCTTTAGGTCGGTCCTAGTTGGGTCCAAGTTATAGCGTTCGGGGAACAAGTCCGCAGGCAGGTATCAATTCCACTTCCTAGCCGCTTGCCGTATGAATGTGGAAGCGAAACGCTTCCTTCCTGGAAATATCCACAACATAGGGTTGAACCCCAGCCCACATCTAGTCCCCCGATGATGGAAAGGGGAAGTCGAAATCAAATCGTGCGATTCCATCGCACACTCTACGTGATATATCCTGTAGAATACCGATAAGCAGGCAACTTTCAGGTGTTCAAGGCTCTGCAGCTTCGCCTCTACCAACTCCGAGTCACATATAAACTTCTTGGCAATCTTGTCGATTGGATCCAAGGTGGCCAATTGGTATTTAGCAGAGCCGGCAGCAGTACAACATACACGACCGGATTTGTGCTTGGTATAGCTAAAGCAACTGTCCCGACGTCTGTACACGGCACGCGATGGGCGCGCACACAAATAAGCCACGCTTGCATGCTACGTTTGTATGGAGTTACCATACTTGTCTCGTTATACTATGTATATAAACAATGGATTTCGCTAAAAATGAGGTCGCCATTTCATCCGCTCATCTATTACTGGCGACGGGTCATAAAATAGTAGATAGCTTTAATATTGATGGTAGAGATCAGGAATATAATCAGTTATTAATCTAATGCAACTGATTGTTCGCACTGCCATACTCACATCGTGTGATACCATTATTGTTATTTCCCGTGATGTTAAAGCCAAACTTAAATTTTACATCAGTGAAAACCTTTATTTATTTATTTTGTAAACCCCTCGACACAAAAGATTAGCAAGTCCAATTGAGCTAGGCTATGTAATCTCCAAGGGCTTGAAACATTCAAACCTTTTTCAATAACGTACGCTCTTAATGGAATGAGAAATTCGTTTGAAAACAAATGAAAGGGCACTTTAAAAGTTCATTATAGTAAGACAGAATTATTGCAACCTTAATATCGATACCTCCAATGAACGCTACGCCAACTTAATTTTTTAACCTGTTTTTTTTATAATTATTAATACAAAGATCGAACACTCAGAAAAAATTCCTTAGATCCGGTCGGATTCGAACCGACGTCTTCTTGCATATCGCTACACCGACTAAGCCACGGAACGAACCAACGGACCTCACAAATTTTTTCTATGTGCTTGAGTCGTGTCTTTGTATTTGGTTTGTCAACGACTTTTTAGTCTGTTTTTTTTTGTTTTTTGTGTCTTTTTTTTTTTTCACAAAATTCGTTGTTTTTTTCGAATTTTGTTCTTAATTTCTTTTTTTTTCACAAAATTAGTAAAGCATAATATTAGTAAATAAATATGGCTGTTTACAAATCTAACAGAAAATGACCAAAACTTAAAGCTTAGGCGTAGTGTTCATTGGAGATATCGACATAATAACTCAATCAGACAATGTATGAAGGATTTATACATTGTCTGATTGTGTTATAGCTTCTATCTATCCGAACTCAACGTTTTTTCTGTTAGAGAGCTATTCGAAATATGATTCTATGGTATAGCCGTTTTAAATCGTACTTGTAATTCGTACTCGTGTGTCGGAGGTTTTATATATTTTTTAAATTTGGAGGTTTATATAATTATAAATTGCGTATTATTACGATGACGTCGCATTTGTGTGCGTGTAAGGTTATAAGGTAGACGACGAAAGCTATTTAGATATTAATATAACTATAATGTTAAATGTTATAATATTATTGCAATTTATAATATAAATTTCCGTCGAATCAACGACCAAAATTAAGATGCTATTCGAGAACCTTAGGTCAGTAATAATTTAATTCTATTCTAACCTATATCTATTTGACCTAACCTATTCTAATTTCAATCCAATTCTTAAATTTACATATCGTATCGTAATCGAAATAATTGGAACATATCCATAAATTTTGCTGAAAGTACCCATAAATATATGGATTTATTTTGTGGAGTGCATTAATGCTCACAGGCAATAAAATTATATAATTAACTGAATAAAGCATTTGCTTTATTCCAGCAACAGTCTCTGTTGCTGGTCTGGAATGTTATTGATATAACTATTTATATTGTATCGAATTTACGTACCAAATAAATTATTCCTTTTGGATAAAACTTTAACAAAGTTGTAAAAAAATTTGAATAAGTAACATCTCATGATTTTTATGAATTGGTACATTATAGAGCGATGCCGATATCAGCAACAGTCGCGTATAAAGTCATTTATACATATATGTGCAAAAGCTATATCAAGTTAAAGTTTACCCTCGTTATTAGCTATTTTTTATTCACGTTTGTAAACATTTATTATGAAATATGACAATTCTAGTGTCAGCATTTCATGGCCAAAAACAAACGTGTATAATGTTATCAAAGGTTAGTTAAAAACAATCTTGTCAGAATTCATTGTAGCTGCGCAACATCATATTGTATCTTCGATAATAAAAACGACAAAATTCGCAAAAACCGATACCGAAACTAAAAACCGACCTCAAGAGTTTACATGTATTTGCCAAGTTTTATTGAAATCAGTTACAGGAAGGTACGCGAAACAGGATTCATTCGCTAGTGGCTAACCTTAGAGGTGGAATATTTTTTTCACATTTAAATGGGACCACTACTGAGGTACCCTTTTTCCAACAAAAAAGAGTCATCAAAATCGGTTCACATATGGAGTTATCGCGTCACATACATACATAATTTACATTCTAATTGAGAACCTCTTCCTTTTTTTAAGTCGATTAAAAACTTACGCGGCACCAGCCCAATACCATTTGTCTGGTGCCTAAATTTGACTAAATTGTTTTTCAGAATATAGAAATATGTTATTTTAATTTTGGAATTTTTTAAAAATCTGTCAGTTTGTTACTCAAAAATGTAACTCTCGTATTGCGAAATTTTATTATTGAGTGTTTGATATGTTTATTTAATAATTTTACGTTATCATTGGACGGTTATTTTATTATTATTATTATTAACTTTATTGACAACTTTATATAGATCTATTAACGCAACTGTTCTTGAAACTTTATACCCTCAATACTTAATATCAAAACATCCTTTTGTCCAAAATTGTTCGATCTTTGCTGAAAATTTACCGATTAATATTTAGTATCTATTTATTCCAATATTATTTATATACTTATTACTAATGTATTAACTATCACAATAACTTAAGAAATTTATTGCAACATTATATAAAATAAATTAAGGCCGTAGGTTAAGACATAATTATTATGTTTACGAGTTTTATAAATTATGTTATATTGCAAATTTTAGCAAACTTGTGATAAAGGCAGTAGTTCGTAAATATAAGGATCACGCTAAATTATCGACTTGTTGGATACCTTATCCGTTTTAATAAGAATTATAGTAAATGTTTAAATTTACAGTACCTACACATGTAAATCAATTTCATTTTGCCAATTTGGAACTTGGCTTGAGTGGAAAAATGAGACTATTTTAACAGCTACTTTGTCTTTATTACTATTACAATGTCACAGGCAATGAATAATTTCTCGGTAATGTTCAAAGACAAGAGCCGTCAACTAAACTTGAAACAGTCTCAATCCATTATTTGTCTTGCGACATTCTACTGTTTTATAACTGGTTGATTTTATTGCTGTCGTTATGTCGCAAGCTAATCTTAATATCATAACGCAAAAACGCTCTATTTTTACTGGGTACAATAGGGTAAAAGTTGAGTGGGTGTAATTTCCGCTCATCTTGTCTCTAAGCTTAACACCAGCGATACCTAAATGGTCGGATATTCGGATGCTTCTATGCTTATACTTCACTTGCAACTGAGCATTGTTATCGAAATATGGAAGCGGCTTATTACATATTTTTTCTTTTTTTAAACCCCGAAATGACAATATGTCACGACTTTTATACTTGAAATACTTAAGATTTTGGCTTACTATGAATCTTACAGCTCTAATGATGAACAGGAACAGGACGTTGTGATGGTTTCAGCTGGTTTCGGCAAGTTTCGGTAAAAAATTATTAAAACTAGTTTCAACAATTCTCACTTTTTGATATAAGATACAAGTCAATTTAAACGTTACGTAAAATTACAAATAACATTTTAAACGTTTATTTTTGTTTTCGATACAATGTTAGCGACCAACTGTAGGTAAATAAGCATCCGACGACCAGTGATGACAGCCCAATTTTTCATTCTGGCAGACTCCTGATTATCATGAATTCATGAGGCGTTAGGTAATGAAACAAGGGAATAATAATAAAGGATTTTTCTTTCGAGAAGATGACTCCGAATTTTTAAATCGTAATTTAGTTAGAAACGATTGATTAAAATTTAAGTTAAACAATGAACTCTTGCAGAAGAAACAATGACAAAAGTATACCAAAAAGTAGATAAGTTAGTGCGATTTCATGTGCTTCCACGTGTGGTAATTGTTGGTGATTGAATACACAGAGTGTTATCAAATTATTGCTTTTGATGTTAACGCATTTCTTGTTATCACAAAAACATGTTATTACTGTTGATATGATTGTTTTGTTTCATAATTAGCGGTCGGATATTCGGTTGCTTTCACATTTAAAGTTCACAATTTTCCATGAATTGCTATGAAAGTATATTATTAAAATATATTTTTTCTTTTAAATCCCGGGATCTGGAAGGACGAGATATTTTACGCTTTCTAGATTTTGGCTCACTATAAACCTTAAAGGTCTGATGATGACAACCGTCAGGAATATGACAACTGGATGTGAATTGGGTGCTGAAGCACTATGACAGCTGCTAGCTGGAAATGTCAACTTTAAACTTAAAGTTAAAAGTGTCAGTCATTCATCGTGACATTCACATATTTTCGTGGAATAACTGCTACTAGTTTGCTATAATTATTAATATAAAGATCGAACACAAAGAAAAATAGTCGGGGCGAAGGAATTTTTCTTTGTGTTTAATCTTTGTATTAATAAAATTATAATGATGGTACCATGGTTTCGGCAAAAAAAAAATCAAGACTACAAAACTTTATTCTTTTTGATTAATGAATATAATATAATAAAATTTTTGATTGCCTGAAGTTTTCACATTTTTCACTTTTAATATGTGATTAAAATTAAATTAAATGTTAAATAAAATTATAAAATAACATGACGCTTAAAACGTCTAATTTCCTTCAGTTTTATACTTATTAATTTCAGGTAAATAAGTATCCGATTATCCGACCACTATTTATAATCACGTCAGTATGAATGTATTTATTGTATTTGAAATTAATGGTTAAGATACACGAATCTGTAAGTAATGTTACATACTAAGGTAAATTCTAAAGGTTCTCGTAATCGCAGAAAAATTAAAACCGCTTGGTTATTGCTCTCATTAATGCAGAACTTCGCGTTTGGTTATTTTTAATGAAGTAAGTATACTTGTAGAATAATTATATATACTTGAAGCGTGGCTTCTTGAATAGCTTATTTCGACCAATGTATGGTTGCTTCCAGCCGTAACACTGCGTCATCAGGGCATTCACACTTAAACTACTATAATATAAGTTTGTTGTGGCGAGCGAATCAAGAGTCAGATCGAAGCGACAAAAGCTATTTGTGGCGTCACACTGTAGTGACGTATTAAAGCTGCTAAGGAACGTTTTGTTAAGAAAGCACCGAGTATCATGCTCTTAAATTGACCCATTTAATATGTGTGGTACACGGATTGAAACTGACGATTTTCACACATTATTTGATTTTCAATTCGGGACTTAATTGTGTATAAAAAAATATTTTTCACCTCACTAGTTCGGAAAGGCTTTCTTTCTCATTAGAAATTTGCGCGCAAAAGCGTTTTTTGCACGCTAGCGTGGAAAAGGTTTTTGAAATTCGAAGTTGACGACGAACTGTGGTGCACCTAACTTTTTCTTTCGATGAGGAAAAAAGATAATGACACGTTCAATTACGTTACCTATTTATGTAATATAAATCCGTTGGTATATTTTACTCTTATT